TGACGACGTATTGTCGATTCACAATGGTTATTTCCATTCTTATGTCGACACGATATATCCCGGTGAGCTTGAGATAAAAGATACCATAGAGTCTGACACATCTGTTTCATATTTGGATATTTTATTAGAAAAAGACTTTAATGGTAATCTAACAACAAAGCTTTATGATAAACGTGATGACTTTAATTTTCAATCGTCAACTTCCCTTACTTATGCAGCAATATACCCTTATATATCACCTGCATACGGGGTTTATATCTCTCAGTTGATTCGATACGCCAGAGCATGCTCTACGTATGAACAATTTTTAAAACGAGGTTAAGTTATTGACAAACAACTTGATGAAACAAGAATATCAACAGTCTCGTTTGAAGTCATCATTTCGTAAGTTCTATGGTCGATACAATGACCTTGTCAGCAAATACAATATATCATTAAGGACCCTCTATACACCAGTGCAAAATGTTTTTTTGGACATTGAGAAAATTATATTGAGTAAAGTTGTAAATATTGAGCTTATTAATTTAATTTTCAATATATGATACGTGGCATTTATCTCCGGATCCAGGAAAAATGTTCAAAGACAATCAAGTATCAATGAACATAAATCACTATAATTGTTTACTTACATGGAGAAAATACATGCAAATAAAGTGTTCAATTAATTTATCTTGGCTATTTAAAATGTTATGAATGCTTGAACTAGTTACAAATCAAGTAATATGCTGTCAATTTCAATTTATTGGAATTTAGATCTAAGGGCAGATCACTCTAACTGCAGAAAAATACCATAGAATCAGAACTCTTTACTATGCAGTGTAGAGAGCTCGAGGGTTCTTCAGTCAAATGCTGACTGACTTTTTTCATACTATTTGATAGGCTATTATTTATACACTGAATTGTCGGCAGATTTTTCCGTTATTTCTCGATCATAACAAGGGGCACATGGCGGGTGTGACCGGTCTGCAGGGGATGCTCACTCCTCCATGGCACCTGATCCCACCTCTGAAGATTTAGAGGTCCGTGATTGTCTGCACTTATTTTGTAATGTTTAATGGACTTTTGAGCTCGAATACTGTTCGTTATCTCGGCAAATTTCATTGAAACATACATGAAAAATATTTAAAAATCTTCTTCTCAGGAGCCATTGGGCCAGAAAAGGAACTTATCTTGAAGCATTCTGGATAGTGTAGATTATAAAATGTTTAAATCATGACCCCATGGGGTAGGATAGAGCCACAATAGGGAATACATGTTTTACATTAAAATATATAGAAAAAAATCTTTAAAAACCTTCTCAAGAACAACTGGGCCAGAAAAGCTGAAACTTATGTTGAAGCATTCTGGGATAATGTAGATTCTAAATTGTTCAAATCATGACCACTGGGGCTTGTGCGGGGTCACAATTGGGAATCCAAGTTTTACAATGAACATACAGGAAAAATCTTTAAAAATCTTCTTCTCAAGAACCTTTAGGCCAGAAAAGCTGAAACTTATGTGAAAGCATCCTGGAGTAGTGTATATTCTTAATTGTTCAAATCATGGCCCCCGGGTAGTGTGGGGCCACAATAGGGAATCAAAGTTTTACATTGAAACATACAGGAAAAATATTTAAAAATCTTCTTTTCAACAACCTCAAGGCCATGCAGAAAAATTGAAACTTATGTGGAAGCTTCCTGGGGTAGTGTAGATTCTAAATTGTTCAAATCATGCCCCCCCCTTTTGGTAGTATCGGGTCACAATGAGTATTACAAGGGGAAATCTGGTGAAGAACAGCAGGGGGCCAAAGTTACTGAGTTGAGGGTTGTGGCCCATGGGCCTCTCGTTTATCATTTACAATCTATCTGACCATTAAAAATGATGAAAGTGCTCTTTGTTTTATATATTATAAACATTCTTATATAATTCTTTTATTCGATTGACCTTACTTTCAATGACATTATTTACAGTGATTAATTATCACAGGTAAATAGCAAAGGAAAATAACTTCTTTCAGTAGAATACAAATTTAAAATAGAGCCCTACCCAGCACCAGAACACTTGACCAAGTCGTCCAGATATTTCAAAAATCTGGTAAAATTCTTAAGGCTGGTCGAAACATATTGCAAAGACTTGTCATTGCATTTTTTTGTAAAGCAGGAAGGAAAGTTGATTTGGGAAGATTACTGAAGCAGGAATTCCTACCAGTGCCTATTTCAATTACTGATACAAGTGGTTCTTTGAAATATACAAACAAATCAGTTATTATCGGACGCAGCAGCGGCCGATCTATTTGTGGTTGTGTTAGAATGTACAAATGGGGAAATGAGATATTTTTTTCATTGCTTGGTTGGAATAATTCCTCATTGATCAAAACGTGAAAGTTATGAATAAAAGTTTTAAAATGTTGCTAAATACTAAGTCTAAATGGTTGTTATTATGTTTCAAATTGTTTTTAATTCCTCGTCAGATATTCATTAATTTAATGATTTTACAAGAAATTTGTAATTTCGGCACTTTTCAACTTAGATTTTTGGCCATATCTGGAATATAGAAATGAACAATTTGTCAGTGCAACTTCTCTTAAACCGCTGCACAGAATTTCGTCAAACTTTGCAGATATTTTGGACACAGCGTGTAGATGTGCATAGTGTCAGGAAATTCCGATTCCATTATTTTTGCCCTTAGAGTTTTGGCTATTATTGAAAAAACTTTGCAGCCACGTAATAAGGAAATACACTTGAATCAGCTTTTGTAATGAAATTTTATGTGAAATATTTTATGACCTTGAAAGACCCCTATTGATTCTGAGATCAAAATATGAATGATTCAACACACACACACACCAAATCTTGGATAGAAGTACACAAAAAGGCCCCGGCCCTCCCCACCTCAGATTAGTGCTTTGCCTTATATAATTTCATAAGTACAGTATATGACTACATCATAATTTTGTTTCCATCAATTATTTAAATGTGTAAATTGTCATACGTTGGACATGGACTTACACTAATTAACAAATCGAAATCACTGAGGAATTTAAATAACAGTTTGTCAGCATAACTCCTGCACTGAATTTCCTGAAACTTTGCAGGTATTTCAGACATAATGTGTATAGATTTGTATAATACCAAGAAATTTTTATTCCATTATTTATCTAGAAACTCAGCCCAATTAAATTTGTAACATACAAAGATTTGAATGTCCTTATATGCAAGAAGTTTTGAAGTGATGATTTTGCAAGTATAATGCCCCTTTTTGAATTATACAGTGTAATTAAAGTGCACCGTGCCATTCATTATGTGTTACTTTGTCAAGTTTTGGGGGAGCGTGGGATATGTGAGCTTGCTCACTTTTTCTTTCATTTCTACCCATTTTATCATTCTTTTCAGAAATAGATAGACACTTGTGGATGATTACCGGAACCTTTTAAATGGGAAAAAGCATTCCTGTCCATGCTGATGTCGAAAAAATTACTCTTCTTTAGAGTTAGGCAAGGATTTTGTCGAATTTCATGTACTGACAGGATGCGACACGTCTTTTTTCTCTATGGTATATCAAAAATACCTTCCACGAGGGGGTTCAGAAATAACTATGAGCTTCTCGTGGGGGGGGGGGGGGTAAAGGAAAGGAAGAATTAACTGATCAGAAAACCAAAGACTGTCAAAAATTCGTCCGTAAGTCGTATACCAACTGACACGGTTCAGATTACTGTAATTGGAAAATCAAAAAGCCCCTAGAATATACCTCCGACTAGTGATGCCTAATTACCCATGCATATAAAGCGAGCACACTACCAGGCGTTGATACTGAGACAGGCAAACATTTACGGCATGGCCGTAGGAACCGGGGGGGGGGGCACGGAACCGTGCCCCCCCAATAATTTTGCCGATATATAGAATACTATAGAAAACATAGCTACTATGCTTGTGCCCCCTCAATAATAACGTCTGATGACCTTTTTTTTTTTTTTGCTTTTGGTACTTAATTGATAGTGCCCCCCCCCAACTGAAAATGTATGGTTGTGCCCCCTCAAAGTGAAATTGCTTCCTACGGGACTGTACGGGTCCATTATTATTATTACCATGTCCAACTGAAATGGGGTGGAAGTTGAATGATGGTTGTTTGGTGCCAATACTTACGACTTTAGATCCGATTTCAGAGGTTTTTCTATATTTGAAAGCTTCGCAGTTGCATATAAATAATATTCAGAAATAAACTTTCAACTGCAAGTCTATGGTGGAAAAACAGCTAACGAATTTTACCCAGAAATGAGGAAATTCATGGTTGGGCCTTGTATATCCAAACTGGACCCTTAAGAGTCGAAGAACCCTAAGTAATTCCTTCAGTACCCTAACTCCGTCACTTTTGAAAAACTCCGTGCTCTTCATAAACGAATGCAATTATGATGTCGTTTTTTTTTTTTTTACATCCTAAAAATCTACAATCAAATATCAAGAATTGAGATGCTTGTTGCCTCCCCTTTTTTGTTGCTGTAAAATCGAGCACTGGCAAAATCCAGCATTTGAAAAAAAAAATGTGTACCAGAAAGTTAGAGAAAGGTTCAACCCCCCCCCCCCCCCCAATAAGATTTTCGAGTTTGGAAAGTTTAGTGTATTTTTTTTTAATTTTATTTTGAGGTCCCCCTTTAAAACCCCATGCTATGGGTCAATATTGTGCATGGATTTTCGAGGGCATAGAAAAAAAGCGGTTTGTGGTGTACATGCTGTATGGATCCTGGATATCGCCCTAGCTATAACTCGGTGGTTTGGGCACCTGACCTAGTAATGTATAGGTCGGTCACGGTTTCGATTTCCACTCCAGTCAAAAAATGTTCCCCTTTCTTGTAACATAAAGTGTACCCTCTCTCTAATCACTCATATCGAAGAAGACGTCACTCTTGAAAGCACTCAAGAGTCAAACTGTGAAGTACGGGTATCCATAACCACGGGAAGCCTCTACATGTGTATAGATTATCCTAAGGAGTTTCCGTAGATTTGATTTGACGCCATACATAGTGACCTCGTTATCTGAACTTTGGCGTGATTTCTGTCAAAATAAAAGGACCGTACACGTGATATGCTGCTTATTTTAAAAACTGTTCGAGACATCAAATAATTTACTATGGAGTTTATAAATAAGGAAATTTGGCCGGAGGAATTTTCTGGGGCTGTTTACGGATTAACAGTGGTTTTCTTATCATTTGTAGGATTTTATGTTTTAAGTGTTTTTGCCGAATTGTTGCTACCGAAAGCTGCCGAAAAGAATGCTTGGAAATGGAAAAACATTTCTACATCACTTGTTCATTCAGTCATCACTGGGTTTTGGTCTTGTTTATGGTAGGTTGAACGAAATCAACATTTTTTGTTACAACTTAAGCTTATATTGTGAATTCATTCTTTATGTGTACTTTTTTACCAATTTTTCATTATTTTTAGTTTCTACGACAACCCAAAGTTGGCAGAAGACATGATCAAGACTCACACAGTATTGGCGCACACTTTGATCAGCGTGTCTGTTGGTAAATAACCATGATTTATATATGCTATAGGACGCATAAATTTATAATTTTTCTGAGTTACGCAACCAGTTGTGCAAGCACGTGTGACCTACTTTGATTAAAATATACGTGTATGGGTATATTTTCTCCCTTTGAACACTAGGCAAAGCTGTTTTATTTTCACACAAGTGTTTATTTTAGTATGAAACAAACTTCAAACAATGATATATTTGAACAGCTTACACTCAGTTGGGGCGTGGCCAATAATAAGAGCTAACATGTTTAACATAATGTTTGTGGCAATGTAAATTTTAAAGCACTATTTGTACACAGAAGTTGAGAAAAATGACAATCATTTAAACTACCCTTTCAATCAAAGGATAAATATATGTGATTTTGACAATGAAAGAAAATAATAGGCTCTCACCTCAGTGAATTAACATGACAAAATTCAAGCATTTATAGGTATCTTGGCAAGACTTAAAAACACAGATGATGGTCGCATTTAATAAGGATGATACTTTTAAATTTCAATAAGTAATATTATCTATGTTTTTTTTCATGTTGAACCTTAAATCATTTAGTCACACACTGTGATAATGAATGTAAAGTTAAATCATCACAGTCATTTAGGGGGTTGACCACTCACTTGATCAAATCCTGTGTAGTAGTTAATAATTATTTAGTATTATTGGTACATACTGATACATGTTAGTTTATCCAGTTTATATCATGGTTATTATGCAAAGAATCATAACAAGATGTGAAACACTGATGCCCCCATATGGCAGCTTATGGCGAAGGTTAAAGTTTCTCAAATGCAAGTCAAACTCCACGGTCAAGAGATCAAAAATGTAATTTGAAGGCTCTAGAGTGAACTGTTCAAAAGTTATGGCCATTAGGTTAAAGTTTTTTAAAAGTAGGTCAAACTCTAAGGTCAAGGTCAAAAATTCAAAAATATTTACATCCATGGAAAGGTCTTGTCAGGATGAATACACGTGTGAAATTTGAAAGCCCTAGCACCAACTGTTGAAAAGTTATGGCCAAGTTTAAAGTTGGATAATACAGGGTGTTTCATAATGTATGTTACATTTTCAAAACTAATTATATTTCTTACCTATTACATTTCTATTGCAAACTATATATCCTTTTAAACATCAAATCTTGCATTTTTGTTCCATGTGAAAAAGTTAAGGAAATCATGGTATTACAATGATAAATTGTGACATAAACACCGGTGTCATAATTTGATTATTTTTCGAAATGGACTGAACTTATCAGCATAAACCTTCAAATGAGGAGTGTCTAACAAATATGTGTGACAAGGTTAAACAAATTTTGAGAAACAATTTTCATTTATAGTTGAAATAGTGGAGATCATTAAGAACATGTAATTTGGGCTTTTGGCGTCGTGAAATTCAACGTAACAAAAATGGCGTAATTTTAAAAAAAAAAAATTCTCTTATTTTCGTTAATGTTTGAGATTTCGTCCAGTGTTTAATATTTTGGTTGGTAATTATACACAATGAACCTTATGGATGCATGCATCAAATTGATAAAAACACTTGTCTGTGTCTTTTTCCATCTTCGCTAGCCAAGGGTTTCTGGTACGCTACTCTCCTCATAAACCCTTGGCATACGGTGCTGAAAAAAAAACGGGATTGTTTTGTCACGTGATCATGATTCTTACCAGGTACGCACAGATTGCGTCATCGACAGAAATAAAAAGCGTATTTTTAAAAAAAATTGTTTTTAAAGATAATTAACAAGAAGGTATTGAGTTATGTTAATTTGTTATTTAAACATGTAAAAATGCAAATCTAAACAGTATAGATTCTTAATCACATATTTTGCACGTTGCTTTAGAAATTGGATGACACCATATTGCTATTCATAGAATGGCATGTTATCTTACGGATCATTGTTTACTTGCGTTTTACATTACCGATATTAAAGAGTCAAGATATATCCCGAACGCAAATATCGTCATTTACAAAAAACAATTGCTGATTGGTCGAACGATGTCGATCAACTCAAATCACAACTTGAGAAAAAAAATCCCAACTTTTTTTAACACCGTATGCCAAGGGCTTATGAGGAGAGTAGCGTATCAGAAACCCTTGGCTAGCGAAGATGGTCTTTTTCTTGTGTTTGTCAAATTAAAGATTCAAAATGTAACATAAATTATGAAACAAACTGTACTATGTTTTTGTAGGTTATTTTATAGGGTATACTATGTTTTTTGTAGGCTACTTTATAGGGTTTACTGTGTTTTTTGTAGGTTATTTTATAGGGTTTACTATGTTTTTGTAGGTTATTTTATAGGGTATACTATGTGTGTTGTAAGTTATTTTATAGGGTACATACTATGTGTGTTGTAGGTTATTTTATAGGGTATTCTATGTGTTTTGTAGGTTATTTTATACAGTACACTATGTTTTTTGTAGGTTATTTTATACAGTATACTATGTTTTTGTAGGTTATTTTTAGGGTATACTATGTTTTTTGTAGATTATTTTATAGGGTATACTGTGTTTTTGTAGGTTATTTTATAGGTATACAATGTTTTTTGTAGGGTATTTTATAGGTATACAATGTTTTTGTAGGTTATTTTATAGGATATACTATGTTTTTGTAGGTTACTTTATAGGGTATACTATGTTTTTTGTAGGTTCCTTTATAGGGTTTACTATGTTTTTGTAGGTTACTTTATAGGGTTTACTATGTTTTTTGTAGGTTATTTTATAGAGTTTACTATGTTTTTGTAGGTTATTTTATAGGGTATACTATGTGTGTTGTAGGTTATTTTATAGGGTATTCTATGTGTTTTGTAGGTTATTTTATACAGTATACTATGTTTTTTGTAGGTTATTTTATACAGTATACTATGTTTTTGTAGGTTATTTTTAGGGTATACTATGTTTTTTGTAGATTATTTTATAGGGTACACTGTGTTTTTGTAGGTTATTTTATACGGTATACTCTGTTTTTTGTAGGTTATTTTATACGGTATACTATGTTTTTTGTAGGTTATTTTTTAGGGTATATTATGTTTTTTGTAGGTTATTTTATAGGTTTACTTTGTTTTTTGTAGGTTGTTTTATACGGTATACTATGTTTTTTATAGGTTACTTTATATATGATACCATTGATATGCTGAGATACCAGAGAAATAGACAGTCCTTTGAATTGATGGGACATCATGTTGTGGTGAGTACATTTCAACAGAGAACAGATCTATTTTAGTGGTTTATTACCTCTTTATGTTAAAAAAGAGTCTACTTGTGACTGTAAATAAATATTAAAATACTTCAAAAAAAATTTCATGCATGTCACGCTGAACTGGCCATTTCCTGTTTTTCTTAACAGTCCTTTTGGATCCCCCTGCCCCCAATTTATGAATTTTTTCTAAGAGGGTTTGTTCCATCATGTTCATTAAAGCAAGATTACCTCCTTAGGTATTAGACTAGAGGGACTTAAATCTCTTTCAGAGCCTGATGTTTTATGAAATCCAACTACTATACTATGTACCCTGTAATTCTTTAGCCAGTATCTGAGATAGTTGTAGAGAAACATTAAACTCTTTAGGGAAGTTCTACCGTTTCCTTATAAAAGTGATGAAATCATGAGAAATTTCATATGACCTGCAGTCTAATCTTATTGCAAAAAAGGAACTTGTACAGTTTTGCTTGCAGTTGTTGACACACAACTACAAACCAGTCAGTAGCCTTTGTACTATGATTTGCATACTTATCGTTGAATATACTGAACAAAGGCCACTGACTTACAATCTTATAAAACTTACACAAACCTTTCTCACAAACAGTATAATTATATCTAGAGAGATAGGGGTCACTTGTAATTCATTAGGAATTGTGAAAAGTGGCTGACATTGTGACTTCACTGTACCTATGTGTATTTAAGGTTATTGACTGGTGAACATGGTGAATGGTGTCAAATATTAATGTTTCATAGGTATAAACCTACCGTTAAGACATTTAAATTTAATACGTATCATAATGTATGCAGTTAAGATTTATCACTAGGTCTGAACAAAATGTTATGGTCTTCAGGTATAGATCCATTTAACAACATTTAAAAAGAAACTTCAAAGAATTTAGGTAAAAATATTACCAAAATTACATTTTAGGTAGAGCAAATATATATTCCAATTTTTTGTCGCTTAATTGAATTCCTATTTATATTACAGCTTTGTGAACATGTTAAAGTATTAGTCACTTGCTATGTCAACTAGATTGAAAGACTCACATTTATTTTAAATGCCAGAATTCTGCAATATAAATAATTTCATTTCAAACTGTGAAACAGTTGCATTAATTCAAAACAGACACTAATCATGTTTCAGAACCTAATATAATATTTGATCAAACATTGTATATTAGTATTTAATAAATAGAAAAATCAATCTTAAATTATTACCAGAAGTTTTAGATCAGGCATTTAAACATTATTAAGAATATGTATAAATATTTAGATCAACATCCAAAGAGTTGCAATGAGTTCATTGTACATGTACATTTATTTGGAAACAGTGTCCCCCATTTAAACTAACAACTGCTGGCAATGTATGGAGGACAATAAGGGATAACTTATTCCAATGAGGTTTTAGATCAGTTATAAACTTTCTGACTATTCCTGACAACAGACAAAGAATTAAGAAATGGGTGAAAACATATAGCCTACTTCCAGCTTGCTGGTAGGGTAATTAGATAAATTGTATATGTGATTCTATATTTTACACAAGTTTTCTTTTTGAGATCAAAGAAGTGGCATACATGGTAATACATTTGTATCTCAAACTCTGTGGGACAGGCAGCACTACCTCCCCCCACCCCCCACCCCCCCACCCCCCCAAAAAAAATAGGATATCTGAATATTTGAAATTTAATTGGGACCAAAGAATAGCTAGCTTTGAAGTATCCCTGGTATTCAACATTATACATTTAGTGACTGGATTCAACATGTTCAAAAGCAACATGCATTTTGTCTTACCCAAGATTCAAACTGTTTGCCTGAGGCTGTTAGGAATGCCATAATAGCAGTCAGACATCTCATTCAAAGTGGAATTTATTTTGACCGTTCCGTAAAACATTGTTTGGATGTTTTAAACTTTTTATCCCCTCCTTGAAAAACCTGTCAGGGAGGCTTATAGTGTTACCCCTAATTCTGTCCGTCATTCTGACATTCAATCATTGTCATTCCATCATAGTTTGTAATTCAGACTTTTTTTTGCTATGCTTGTAGATTTATGCCCGGCCATGAATATGGCTGGGGCGTTTGTCATGTGATGTCCATCTTTAATCCTTCAATCACACCTTGCCTTTTGTTCAGTTTCAAAAAAACTATATAATCAAGACATTTTATCAAACTTCATTTGCTGATACATGTACATATTGATGACGGCTATTCAAATGAAAAAAAATTGACCTTGGCCTTTCCTTTGACCTTGGCCTTACTTTTCAAAAATTTGTGTTTAGATTGGTTTCAAAGAAACTATTCAGTATTCATATGATTCAGGATGTTTTTATCAAACCCTTTTTGCTGAAACATATTGGAGAGAGCTACCAGGTATTCAAATTCATCAACTTTTTTTACTTTGACCTTGATATCAATTTTCTAAAATTAGTTTTAGCTCAGTTTTAATGAAACTATTTAAGATATTTTTATCAAACCTTTTATGTAATGTATGCTGATACATATTGGCAAGAGGTAATATTCATTAACTTTTTTTTACCTTGATCTTTGACCTTGACTTTATTTTTCTAAAATGACTGTTTAGCTAAGTTTCAAAGAAACTATTCAAGATATTTTTACAAACTTCATATGCTGAGACATTTTGGTGTCTAAATGCTATTCAACTTAATCAACATTTTTTGACCTTGACTTCACTTTTCTTAAATTGGTATTTAGCATAGTTTCAAAGAAACTGTTAAAGATATTTTTATCAAACTTAATATGCTTTTTATAAGCCTGTCTTTGATGGGACATTTTGGTTTGGCAATCATGTCTGTCTGTTAGATTTTTTGTCAGGCTCATGAATTTAATACTATGAGGCCTAGATTCTTCAAACTTTGTCAGGTGATGCATCTTTGGTAGAGAGTGTGTTAGGTTGGGCACCATGACCTTCAGTTCTGAAGATATGGCTAAATCTGACAAAACCCTAACCGGCTTATAACTGGAAAATTATTTGGCCTAGAATCTTAAAACTAGGATAGATAATGCATCTAAGGTAGATAGTTTGTTGCATTCTACATTAAGGTCACTATGACCTTTAATTAAGGTGACTTGGCCAAATATGGCAAAATTCTGTCAGAACTGGGAATTTCTTTTTACCTAAAATCATCAAACTTAGACAGATAATGGATCTTAAGCAGAGGGTGTGTCACATTTTCATTAAGGTCACTGTGACCTTTATTCAAGGTGAAATATATATATATATATATATATATATATAAAGCACTAAAAATGACCAACGACACGAACAATAATAATTGTCAAATTTTCGGGACGACCTGCCCCTTCCTCAGGACAAAGAAAAAGTTAAGAAGTCATAAAAACAAAGGAAATAGAGAAACAAAAACAACTAGCACTACTACTAAACTACCAAACACTAAATATTTACAGTGTTACATGTTTAATTTCAAGTTAATAAACAGTCGTGAACAAAGAAATCCGGAGCGCTATGAATTGCGTCCGGTCTATCGGGTGAACTCTGGTGAAGTGCGATTTACATAATTGAACGAATTAATTATCGCTAATTAATTACAACAAGCAGTAAATTGTACATTCTCTTATTCTCTCAAAATTGACCCAATCCCGGATTGTAACAAACAAGTTCATTCTCTCTATATAGTGTAAACTTTACCGTTAATTCGCATTAGAAATTCTGGAACAACCTACCCAGATACTTACAGCTTACATTTTTGTGTATTTCCTTAATCGATTTCCAAATTTATAATATATCCAAATTTATTTTCAAATTGCCCTTCCATATTATCTTTCTTTAATTTCTTTTTATCATGTATAGTTACGCTATTTTGAGAGAATAAGACAATGTACGATTTACTGCTTGTTGTAATTAATTAGCGATAATTAATTCGTTCAATTATGTAAATCGCACTTCACCAGAGTTCACCCGATAGACCGGACGCAATTCATAGCACTCCAGATTTCTTTGTTCACGACTGTTTATTAACTTGAAATTTAACATGTAACACTGTAAATATTTAGTGTTTGGTAGTTTAGTAGTAGTGCTAGTTGTTTTTGTTTCTCTATTTCCTTTGTTTTTATGACTTCTTAACTTTTTCTTTGTCCTGAGGAAGGGGCAGGTCGTCCCGAAAAATTGACAATTATATAATTGTTCGTGTCGTTGGTCATTTTTAGTGCTTTATATAAATTTCCATCCGTGACCTTGTATCTACTTAGTAGATCCGACACTTAGGATATACAGTGTTGTTGGTTTTTAGTGCTTTATATATATATATATATATATATATATATATATATATATATATATATATATATATATATATATATATATATATATATATATATATATATATATATATATATATATGATATAATATAGTATTATTGATTTGATATCTAAGTCTAAGTCAGTTTTGCATTACACATGTAAAAGATTTTTCCTTAGTACACATATTGGTTTGCATCCTTTTGTGAGCACATGATGTACTTTAGCGAACATGCAAGAAAACATGAAACGATATGCGAACATGCAAAAAAACTTGACACAATTTGTACAGAGATGGTGTATGAATATGTCCCTTGACTGTAGACTGGGTTTGCAGAAGAGTGACTTTTAACTAGGTCTAGTAGTATGTCCAATGGATTTATATCACTATACATACGTGGTACACTGTAGGATAATGCTTCCTCTTGTAATTACCGTTGTCTACAATTAAAATCATGATGACGATATTGATTACATTCTTTTATTGAAGCTGTGTTTCTGTTTTATTTCCACTGTACTAGCATTTGGTTTTGTAAGGGAAAATGTCAATATTTAGTGAAGCATGGCTGTTAGATTATTTTACCTTGACTTCCATACACACATTTATACAGAGTCAAAGGAATACTTCCCAATGCTCAATCCTTATTTCCTCTCTTTTACTTGAAATCCCATATCTTCTTTAAGCTTCTTCCTTCTAAAATGTCAATGTCTAATATTTTCATGCCTTTTAATTGTAGGTACATGAATACTCTGTGTATATATTAGTATGATATTGGTTTTCAACATTCTCTACAATTAATAAAAACCTTTCAATTTTCTCCAATGCAGAGAATGGTTCAGGAAAAATAATGATGACTAAGAGGCTGTGATCTGACAGCTAACATAAAACACTCACTAAATGAGAAATTTTTATAAACCTTAATTGTAAAACCATTTATGTTTCATTTATGATGGTATACTGTTGACATCACTGGTTTTCTTATTATTATCTTATTTAGTTACACATGTATAAGGCACCAACTATGATTTCTTAGCACATTTTCTTTCACTACTGGATGCAGAATTTTGTCGCTAAATGTAAAATCAAACCTGAATGGATACTTTGAATTCCAAATTGTTTGTTTTTCCACAGACTGATTTCTCTTAAACCTGAACGTGTGGCAGATGTTAAACATATAATTAACTTTGGACAGCCTTTATACATGTATTACCATACTTTGCTTATAAGTGCTTTTTATATAAGTGTTGTGGCAAAGACAACTTAATCCAGAAAATTAAAATTAACACAGTTAATCTCTTTCTTTCAGATCATCATCTGTTTTGGTGTATCCATCGTATCCAGGATGTATGTTGGTTATGCTGTGGTTGCCTTGGTGATAGAGCTAAACAGTATTTTCCTTCACCTTAGACAGATTTTACAAATTTGCCAGTTTAAAAAAGACAATAAATTATACAGACTGAATAGCATTATCAATTTAGGTATGGAAAGTTACATCAATCTATTCATGGAATTAAGTAAAAAAAAAATATACATGTACAGTTGAACTTCGCTATCTCTAACAGTGATATCTGGAATACCATGGGGATGTAAAGGTGATATGGAAGTCCCAACTATTATTTCGTGAGGTATTTTACCCTGGATGTCTCAAATCCTCAGATATCTTGGAGTTTTTTTTATTGGTTCCATCAAGTTTGAGATAACAAGGTTTGACTGTTTATATGTATGTATTTGAAGTAAACATGATTATGATTATGCTGTATCATTTGACACGTAAGTCAATGAGTCCAAGAACATAAAGCCAATATAAATCCAGGAAAAGTCCAAATTTCAGCTAATTGCTGATCATGGCAATTTTTGCCATATTTTTGAAATTATTAGCTCACCTGAGCCGAAGGCTCAAGGGAGCTTTCCTGATCAAAATTTGTCCATTGTCTGTCATTGTCATCGTCGTAAACTTTTCACAATTTCATCTTGTTCTCAAGAACGACAGGGCCAATTTCAGCCAAACTTGCCACAAAGTATCTCTAGATAAAGGGTTTTCAAGTTTGTTCAAATGAAGGGCCACGCTTTCTTCCAAGGGGAGATAATTATGAATTCGTGAAAAAATTAATGGCATCATTTAAAAATCTTCTTCTCAAGAACCACTGTGCTTCAAAATATGAAACTTATATGGAAGCATCCTCAGGTAGTGTAGATTCAAGTTTGTTAAAATCATGACCCCCAGGGGTAAGGTGGGGCCACAATGGGCGATCAAAGTTTTACATAGGAATACTTAGGAAAAATCTTCAAAAATCTTCTTCTCAAGAACAGCAAAGCCATGATTAGTCATATTTAAATGGAACCATCCTCAGGTAATGTAGATTCAAATTTGTTCAAATCATGACCCCTAAGGAGAATAGAGGGGCCATAACAGGGTATCATAGTTATACAAAGGAATACAAAGGATATATTAATTTTCTTCTTAACAACAGAAAGCCATTATTTGTCATATTAATTCAAAAGCATCCCTATGAGGTATAGATTCAAGTTAGTTAAAATCCCCCCCCCCCCAACCACTTCTATATTTAAACTTTTCAATACTGAACTCTGAACTGATTTGTGCTTTTTCCTACCTAGAGTGCTCAAGTGAGCAATGTGGCCCCTGGGCCCCTTGTCAATATTCTATTAAGCTCTCAAAATTGCCAGTTGTTCCCATGATTGTGTCATGTTTGCTGAGAAAAGAATCCTATGGGGTTTTCCCCAAAGATGGTGGTCAAGGGGCATGACTTTTGAAAAATGTGGATTCAACTAAATGCAATGTAATGCACAATGACATTATCAAGTTACAAAGTAAAGAACTTGAAGCTCATTCTAATATATATAAATATTATATTTTTTGCTTAGGAACATTTGTGGGGTTTCGTATTTCGGTGATGGCTTGGATGAGCAAATGGCTGTTGATCAACAAAGACCTTATTCCTTTTGTGTTTTACACCCTTGGCAGCATTGGACTCGCAGTGATGACAATTATGAATATTGTGCTGTTTTATCGTCTTCTGCAGAGTGATTTTATCCGCAAGAAAGAATCCACCGTCAAAGTGGACTAATCTTCGTATATTAGATAGCTTTTACTCATTAATGTGTAAATTAATTAATTGAAGTATGAAAGTGTTTGAATGAATTTTGTGTGTGTTAATGGAAAGATGTTATTTTTATTTTCTAATTCAACAAATTAAGACTTCTAGATGTAAGGTCTGAGTGTTTGTCATGATACTTTTGAATACATGTATTTTGTCATGATTAAGTTTTAGTCTGACTGAGTCAATGTAATAGTGTGCTTGATTTGTTGAAGATATTGCAGTGTTTTGTAATCAAATTCTGCCAGAATGTGTCAGTAGTATGATTTATGTCAAAATGTAATCCATCTAATGAAGGAACATCATTCTGTAATTCTAGGAAGAATTCAATCTTTGTTCATTAAGGTATCTTGCATTGAGCAGTCCTTGTTAAAAGGAAATCAAAATTTCACTGTTATGGGCAATAACCATACAATTTTAATTCAACATGAAATGACATCACTGTCCTCTTCATTAATATGTTTAAATTTGTGGCATTTGTATATCATTTTTGTAGCTGTAATGAAAGTTTTTATTTAAAAATTTTGAAATATATAATTCACTAAATATGATGGAAATCTGTAATTGGAAATAAATATTTTAAAATGATTAGAAACTTTAGATTGGAATAGTTAATACACAAAGAGTACAATTTTACAAACATTATGTTGAATTTCTGGGTATTTACAGGGTATTTCTTGGCGTTCACTCAAGTTTTCAAACATACTATACATCAATTTTGTTTTTAATTGGATCCATGTAAATTAATGACTATCCACACACTTGTTAATTGTTTAAATGTGAACAAAAAAAAAATATGTTAACCTTGAAAACAATTTCTGAATTTACTTCCGTGCTATTTTTGTTCTTGGTAAAGATAAAGGGAAAAAATGAGTTTGTAACAAAGATAAAGACCTGGTTTAAAGTATTAGGTATGAATATACCCTAGAAGTTAAATAGAAGTATGCTTGGAAGGGGACCAAAATACCTCTAGAAATGAAAGAGTTTGATAAGATGATAATTTTTTTTAGGTAAACCTCTGTAAGGTTGGATATTATGAAATGTATGAAGGCTGTAAGTTTGTGGAATGAAAAGTAACATTTCAAATTTAACTCTCCATTACGATTGTTAACTATCAGACGAGCAAGCTTGCTTATCTGAAGAAGCAGAGTAACAAATGTGTTAATTTAAACCAAGGTTAGTTAATGTATCTCAGGGGTGTACTTGACACAAGATATTTCTGAGAATTTTTTTTTTTTTTTTAATTTGTTCTGTGTAGAAGAATTTTCAAACATCAGAAGATAAAAATAAAATTAAGATTTAGATTTAGATAGTTAAAAAGTTAATAATTCTACATGTAATTTTGGAAAACACAAAATTCTAAACATTTATCTAGTCTAGTTGTAGTGGGCCATGGTCAGTTAATTATAATGTTACAAGATATATGGTACATTTAACTTAAGTTTAGTTTTAGTGGTTAGTTAATTATATATTAAAAGAATAATGGCACAGTGGACATCTTTATATACTTTGTAATATACTATTAATCATTATGTATGCTCAAAATGTATAATATCTTCTATGATTCTTTTATATCACAAATGAACCTAGCCCTTAGGTTATACCTAATTACCCGAATTTTGCTTTTGATTTGATATTACAAGTTGTTGTTGGCTTTTATTTGATGTAAATAATTTAAGATTAATTCACAATTGAAAGATCTTTGTAACAGGGCTCTGCTTATATAAATACATGTTATAATTTTTTTGTTTTTAAAAATGCCACTTTAAAATATTAATACATTCAAAAGTTCTTAAGGAGGTTGGATCCTGACATCAAAAGTAATGAGGATTTTTTATCAAGTATATTTTTAGAATTTATACACATAGCTTAATTAAAAACCAAAACAAAAAATGGGGGTCAATGCGCTTCTTTTGGCGCTACAGAGCATTTAGTTTGACCTTTTTGCACTGTAAAAACGTATTACACATAAATCAATTTTTTAAGTTTTTCCTCCGATATTTTTTATTCAAATAAGTTATGGGAACAAACACAGTTTTATTTCATCTTGAATAGACCCATTAAAATTTTTGACAACGAAAAAAAATTTTAAAGTACTCCGCACGTTCCATTTTTTGACCTTTTTGCACTCAAAAAATTTCATTTTGCTAGCATTACAAATTTAACAAGAAAAAAACTCATTTAAAAGTAATGTCATTTCACTGAATTTAAGAAGAATGATTAAAAGTATCTTGTATATTGAGAAAAGAAAGTTAAAAGTGGGGGTCTGTGATGTTATTTTTTAGATATTACTAAAATAGTGCTAATTTTGAGCTTAAATTAGGGCTATTTTTTCTCTTGATTTTCACAATATATTTGATTTATTTATCAAATATGATGATTGAATTCATGACAGTTTATTAAATATATAATTTAGGACCAGTATAAAACAGTTCACTGCTCAAAATAATTCTGTGTGCAGACTGCATGTAAAAATAGGAATCCAAACTTAACATATACTTCAAATACTTCGAAAGAGAAAAAATGATCATTTTCTTCTAAAAAACCTTCCGCCACAAAATATAGTTCCTCACTTAATGCTTTTGGTACGGAATTTAATCATGGAGTTTTAACTGAATATAGTTTATTTGGCATTGTAGAATCCAAATTTATTGTAAGAATTAAAACATTACGCAGATTTTTTTAAATATAGGTTAAAATAAAAATCTGCTCAAAAGCTCAGGAGCGAACCTCGTTAAAGATACATTTATTATTATATTTATTGTTAAAATCATGGACAAGATTAATGCATGAGTTAAAATTGGAAGCAGAGAAATTTTATTTCCATGTTTCAAATGTCAGTTTTTGGAATCTGTGATTGAAGTACAAGTATGTAGAGTTCAAGCACTGGTCTTCACAAAATAATTTATAGAGTTGTTCAATGTTATATCAAGATGACTCAGAGTCATGATGTGTAAGAGTTGCCTGTTGTAAACTTAGGAATTGTCTATGTAATCCCAATATGGTTAGGAATTGTCTGATATGATCCCTCTATGGTTAGGAATTGTCTGATGTAATCCCACTATGGTTAAGAATTGTCCTATGTAATCCCGTTATGGTTAAGAATTGTCTGATATAATCCCACTATGGTTAGGAGTTGTCTGATGTTTTCCCGTTGTGATTAAGAGTTGTCTAATGTTATCCCGAGGTGATTAGGAATTGTCTGATGTAATCCTGCTATTGTTAAGAATTGTCTGATGTAATCCCGAGGTGATTAAGAATTGTCTGATGTTATCCTGTAACACTAAAGAATTGTCTGATGTAATCCCAATATGGTTAAGAATTGTCTGATATAATCCCTCTATGGTTAAGAATTGTCTGATATAATTCCAATATGGTTAAGAATTGTCTGATGTAATCCCAATATGGTTAAGAATTGTCTGATATTATCCCTCTATGGTTAAGAATTGTCTGATGTAATCCCAATATTGTTAAGAATTGTCTTGTGTATTCCTGATATGGTTAAGAATTGCTTGATGTAATCCCTCTGTAGTTAAGAATTTTCTGATGAATTCCCAGTATGTTTAGAAATTGTCTGATGTATTCCCCAGGTGATTAGGAATTGTCTGATGTAATCTGCAGGTGATAAGGAATTGTTGTCACAGACTTGAGGTGATAAGGGCTTGTTTGATATAATCCCAAGCTGATTAGGGATTTTCTGATACTATCCCAAGATGATTAGGGATTAATTGATATAATTCCAAGAGTAATATGGATTGTTTGATGTATAATTGTAATTCAAAGATGAATGTTACGGGCTGTCTCACATTATTTCTGAGATGTTTAAGTCAATTGGTGTTATCCAAAGATGTTTTGGTACCCTTCATTTGATTTTTTCCCCTTTTTTATATGTTCATTTAATATTTGATTATATTTTTGTACATCAGATATGTATATTTTGAAATGAACTTTACTGGAAGCCTAGTTTTAAGAACAAATTGCCTTATTAACACTGAACATGATAAATATTGCAATCTAACTTTTAAAAACCCACAAGTTTCAGATTTGTGGTTTATATGCTGAAATTCATGTTCCAGTTGCTAAGTCCCATAACTTTGATATTAAAACTTTATTCTGGTGCTATTTACACACTGTAGAACTTAGCTGTGTTCAGGTGATGTCCAATGTGTGTCGTATGTTTCTCCCTTGGGGAATTTGTAATCTAGAAAAAAAAATACAATTAGAAAAAATATGTAAACAGAAATGACATTTTCCTTAAATTATTTACTCAGTACATGAAGTGATAAAAATTTTGCATTTCTTTGTGTTGATGAATGAACAAAACGTTGATTAGCATTACTTTATTTGTGCTATATATAAAATATTATATTGCAATTGTATTAAATAATAACTGTAATGAAAATGATCAGTGTAGATAATGATTGTTAAAATTAATTAAAAAAAAATAATCTTGTGAAATACAGATAATTAGGTTGTGTATTCTGGGCTTGAATATTATATTTTTCTTTTATTTAAACAACCAACCACCTCAGTTTCTTTTGTGATATATAGACTTTGTTTTGTAATGTGCTCATAATGAAAAATAAATTGTTTTAACTGATAATATACAGTGTATTGATATATGTATAACATCATTTTTTTTAAATCAACTGAGTTAAGGCTCGAGAGGGTTTTTTTTTTAAATTAAGTGCCTAGTCTTTCCGACTTAATTTTAACTAAGCTTGGAACAAAGCATCACCCTTGGAAAAAGGATTTGAGTGTGGTGGAGTTCTTGTCAAGAGGAGGTAATCAAGTAGTAAAATTTAACATTCTGAAGAATCAAAAGACATTTGAAAGCTTCCCGATCAAATATAGATTTATTAATGTGTCCCAAAATGGACAAGAATTGGGGGTCCTTTTATACAGGATTATAAACTTAAAGTGAAAATCTTTTAGATCCTCTGCAGAAGGACAGTTATCGATTGTCGTATTAAGAAAGCATCCCCTATATAGTGTAAATTCCTGTTTGTTCGATCACTGGAATATCTCCCAACATCGTCGTTGACCCGGCACAATGAAAGCTTCCCCATTAATGGAAGATTCAGATGTTTTGTTGTTGTTTTTTAAAGAATACCGACTTTGGAACTTTGTCGGGATAATAAAGTTCGTAAATAAACAGGGAACATTTATTAGGATCCCTATAAGAGCTTATTAGGATCCCTGTTTGGAATTTTTTAACTTGAGATCGCCTGGAAAAGAAGGTGTTACACACAGACGGAAATTATGAATTTATGACCTTGACCTTTTGACCTCAAAATAAATAGGGATCTTCCTTAGGCAGTTGTGGTACAAACCGAAATTAATATCCCCCACTTTCAGTGAAAGCGGGGGACAAAAAATTTCATACTATATCCTATACTTACGGAAGCGTATAAGGGCGGCAGCAGTATCTTTTATTAACAAATTAGTAATTTGATATAACAAATTACTACTTTGTTATAACAAATTAGTAATTTGTTATAACAAAATTGTAATTTGTTAGAACAAAATTACTAATTTGTTGTAACAAATTACTAATTTGTTATAACAAATTGATAAAAGATACTGCTGCGGACCTAATACGCTTCCGTATATACCAGCCACCTAGCAATGAGTCCTCTATACGAAAATTGTGAAATTCAGAACCCCATGATTCAGGCCCTCGGTGCTATCATATCAGAAAATCTCCTTTACTTCTGTTGGCATGATAAAAATAAGCACTTATCGTCTACCAACATTGTGAAATCCATGTCCCCCGGGTCCCCTTGGGTGAGTTAAGCATCTCTTATGGGAATCTAGCAGACAAACTGTTTGCCTGATTACATTGTGTTAAACTATACAACCCAGTGGCGGATCCAGAGGGGGGATACGGGGGTTGCACCCCCCCTTTTGGATTTGCTAAAAGAAAATAGGAGAGAGAGAGAGAGGAGAGAGTCCAGAATATTTGTTGTGTTTTTACTGTAAAAAATGTTCAGTGAAAGGCTTTGAAGTAATGTGTGAAGAAAATTCGGTTGTGAAAAAAATGGACCCCCATCCCCGTAATAGGATTTTCGGCTTCGGAGATTTATTTTCTTTTTTGTCAGAAATCTTAAGCCAATTTAAATTTATTCCCTGGCTGGTCCCCCCACTTTCAAAAACGGTACTACATCCATGTTGTATTTCCTATTACGTTGTCGGTTAACTATAAACGAACGTTAATTATATAACAGCTCTCATTTCTTCTTCAACCCCCCCCCCCCTTTGAAAAAAAAATCTAGATCCACGCCTGCAACCTTTTCTAAAACTGTGAAATTCGTGTTATAATAAATAACTATAGCCTTGAAAAGTTGTAAAATGCATGACCCCCATGCATGTCCAAGGCTCAAGGTGGGAAATATAATTGGTCATAAATTGAAAATACGTTACACTATTGAAAATCTTCATTTATGTGGCAAGTTGTTCGCACGTACGATTAACCCTTTGCAGCAGTGTAAAATTCTTAGTCCCTGTGTTTGGGGTTAAGACTCCTGGGTTGGGTTGAATTGGTCATGCAATGAAACTACAATGCATATTTTTCTATACAAATACAAATACAAATATTTTATTGGCACAAACACAATTACAGTAATTGGTAAAGGCCCATACAGAACACATTAATAAGTATAATAATACAGTAGAACACAACTAGAATACAAACAATTGGTGTAGCAAATAATGTAGTGTACTCATCAGATACTAGGTAATTCATAACAATGTAGTTACTCATTTATAGCTAGAACATTTTTTCTAATATCAGATATTTGACATAAAAATGAAGATAATATTTTAAGAACCCTTTTGCACCTGGTTTTCATCAATGATTTTAACAAATTGTCATTATTATGGATTGTTTGGTTGAAATTAGGGAAAGTAGATAATTTTGTTTTGAATATTTTTCTCTGTGCTTCATATTTCGGACAGAGCAAAATGAAATGTTTTTCATCCTCAATATCAAGGTTTTGACAAACTTTACACAACCTATCATTTTTATTAATTTCAACATATCTACCTTTTTCAATTTCTAAATTATGTGCA